TTTTTTTTTTTTTTTTTTTTTTTTCCAGGGTCTGCGCTGTTACTTCGACGGGGGCTTGGCTTTTTTATTATCCTTATTTGCGCGGCGCATCGATGAAACCAAAGGGGACTTAGCCATCACCACAGGAAGGGTGAAGAGAATAATTCCCCAGACTATTTGTACCCTCCCTTGCCTTTCTTTTCAGGCAGGCCGGACCCTGCTTTTCAGGCCGGGCCAAGGGAGCGCAGGGCCGGGACCCCGGGACCCCCGTCCCACCGCCGCCACCCCTCGCACGCCGGGAGCGGCCTCAGGAGCGGGGCTGTCCCGCAGGCAAGCCGCGCTGTTAAAAGGAGGGATCTCCCTCGGGGCAAAGCGGTCAAGCGATGTGGGGACTCTTTTTTATATCGTTTGCTTTCTTGGGATTGGTGTCGGGAGAATCGTTCGCCTCGTTTTCTCCGCGGCAAGAGGCGATGCTTCGTGAGCTGACCTTGCCGCCGCCGGGGCTCCTGGCTCCCCGGCCGGGGGGGCTGGCGGGGCTCTTGCTCTGCGCCCCTCTCCCCCAGCTCACGCCTCGGGCAAGACCGGGCCCCCCGGACCACTGTGGGCCACACCGAAGTCCTCAGCCCTCTGCCAAACGCTTCAGGCGCTTCTAAATACGGGTCCTGTTCGCGATAGAACACATATATTTTTTAATTCTATTCTTTCTATTCTATCTATATATTCTATTGGCAAATTCAGCCAACAAAAGGGTAAAGCGCGGCTGGTTCTCGCTCATTTCAAAGCGACAAGGCACTAATTTGTGTCGCCCACTTCCCTGGCTGTGATTGCAACGGGCGGCCAGGGTGACTCGAATACATGTTCCTTCGCATTAATTAATTAAGCAGGAGCAGGCGTGGCACAGATCTGTACCTGGCCGGGGGCAGTCCTTCCAGCGGTATGTCTCTTGGCACAAGCCGGCGTATTAAAAGCTGCTCGGATTCTGTTTTGGGTTTAGGAGTTGGCACTTCAGTAAAAAAAATTGCGTGTCCTCTTGAGTCGTTTTAGCAAGGAAATCTTTTCAGCCCTCTTTTTATTTAAAGGACTTTAGTTAGATTGCCCGCTTTTTATTTACGGGAGGATGCTTACGTGATGCGTGTAAAAGCGCACTGGTGAGCAACTGACTTAAATCACTGTTTTGGGATAATCTGCTCGTTGGCACCATCGCTCCGTCCTGGTTTTCTCTCCGTCTTACGTGCTTGATCAATACCATCTAGTTTGGTGGAGCCGATGAAACGGAGTTGAAGACAACTGCCGCCAGTGGCCCACGCACTGGCTTGGCTGGGACGGGAACCCAGCAAGGGTCTCACCTGGAGTCGGTCGGGGCGAGTACATCTGATTGGGATGAGAATATTTGGGATGCGGTGCAGGCAGACCAAGTGCCCGGTCAGCCTTAAGGAACCTTCTGTCCCAGCAGAAGGCACACAACGACGAAACGGCTGCTTGAAAAGCTGTGGTCTTTTAACATTTGAATTTAAAATAGAAAATTGACACACACACACGCACAAGAAAAAAAAAAAAAGAGAACAATGTCTTTTCCTCCTTTCGACCACCTCTCCACTGATTCTTGCCTCGACAAAGCGAATTGTCTGGGGAGTTCTCGGGAGCATCCCCGGCCGTGTGGCCTCTCTCCCTCCCCCCGGGGCTCAGAGGAGCGGGGGGCGCACCCCGACTCCCGCAGCCAGCCGGGGCCTCGGCGGGCAGCGGGGCTGGGGTGCCCCGGGGGGGGGGGGGGGGGGGGCCGGGGGGGGGGCCCCCCTGCCGCTGCCCCGAGCCAGCGGAGCACCGAGGCTCCACGCAACTGGAACCGAGCAAAGCGTGTTGCCATTTGGGCTGCGATGTTTAAATTATAGAGAAAGCAGTCAAGATGTCTTAAAGTTCAATCTGACAAGAAATGTAAAATATATTTCTGTCTGCATTCGTCGGGAAGGGAGCATCTTGCAGTGTGGGGTATCGCTACCCAGAGTCCTTTTAAAGCGCTTCCTAATATATCATCGAAGCCTGAAGATGTTACAGGCACTCGGAGTACTGGGGTTGGGTTTGCTTTGCTGTACAATGCGCTGATGGGTTGCCATTTTTTTTTTTTCTTTTGGTGGTTGTCCCGCCCCCCCCCAAGCCGCAGCTCTCCTCCCGGGCCAACGCCTTCTCCATCGCCGCCCTCATGTCGAGCGGCAGCTCCAAGGACAAGGAGTCCCCCGAAAGCACCATCAAGCCGCTGGGTGAGTGGGGACGGGGGGTGGCCCGCGGGCGTCCGCGGGGCGCGGAGATCCCGTCCGTCCGTCTGTCCGTCCGTCCGTCCCCGGCGCAGCCCGCTCTCCGCTCGGGCTCAGCCGCCTTAAAGCCGCGGCACGCCGGGGGTTTTTTTTTGCCGCGCCGCCGGCCCGTCCGCCCGTCCCGGGCGCGGCCCGCTCTCCGCTCGGGCTCAGCCGCCTGAAAGCCGCGGCAGCCGGGTCGGGCAGCGGGGGCTCTCCCCTGCCCACAGCCTTCCCCGGCAGAAGGAAAAGCCGCACCGCGACAGCCAGTTAAGTCTCCTCGTTACCCACCGCCGTTTGCAGGCGAGGCTGTTCCTAGCGCAAACCATTTCCTAAATTCCTCCGGCTTAAATTACGCCGTTTATTTCTCCAGCTTCGCCACCCGTAGAATAATCTCACACCCTAAGGTAGTTGCATTTCTCTTCGCTGGTACGAAATGAACCTCTTAAATATTTATTGCAAATCATTTATGTTTTTGGAGTCAAATAAGAGAATCTCCGCTATCGTGCCTAGGCTTAAAAGGGGTAGTAAAACTTGTGCGTAGACCTGAAAATCCCTTCGCTCCACAGCTACTCGATGTAGGCTCATATAGACTGTTTTACTCTACATCGACTGGGAGGATTGTTATAGTAATTCCCCGCGATTTTCGGGTAAGCCATTTCGCTTCTATTCGGTCGCCTCGATGCAGATTCCCGAAGGCTTTTAAAAAACATCAGCATCTTTCCCTTCTCCCCCCTCAATTTCTGCGGCTTGTGGTCCTTGCATAAACCCAAGAGTTCGCAGAAAACTACAAAAAAAAAAAAAAAAGGGTATTAAGCTTTCAGGGGGCCAATGAACAAAATTAAAGTCAAG